ACTCACCTGCTCGCCTCTCTGCTCTGATTTCTTTGTCCTCTCTCTGCTCAGCTCCTGCCTCTCTTTCCTCCCGTTTCTTTCCTCATTCCCTTTTATGTTGTCTTCCTTGCCATCCCTCCCTGAGCCTCCCTGCCTTGTGTCTTTCACTCGGGGCTCTTTGATGATGTGCACATTGCTAATTGTGTCCGAGCAGATGCTGTCAGATGCTACGCCTGACGAAACGGCCACGGGGGCAATCTGTGGAGAGGACCTGATTTGGCAGAGGTCAAACGGGGTCACTTTCACATCAGCGTCCTGCTGCCTCCCGAGCTCACCAGGTCGGTCGGCTTCCTGTCAGGCTGGTTTGTACAAAAGCGCAAATCTATGTGACCTTGTGTGCCTACAGGCTCTGCAGAAAAAGCTCAAATTTCATGTGTTTTGCAGAGAAAGTGTGTCGTAGATCAACACAGATTGGCGTGTAAAAGAATATTAGTTTTTCAAACATTTTTGCTGGTAGAAATGTTTTTATTTTTGGGTCTAGTGGCCTTTATTTGAAAGTGCTATGACAGGCAAGTAGGGTAATGAGAGAGAGAGATGGCCGACATGTGGAAAAGGTCACCAGACCGGGAATTGAACCTGCGACGGCCGCGTCGAGGACCAAGGTCTCCCCCAGGCGGGCTGTGCTCAACCCCTGAGCCACCACAGCACCCCTGCTTATAGAAATTTGTATTCAGTTTCCTAAAAGGTTACACCAGCTCAGTGAACTGCCTCCAGAACAAATTGGTAGAGTCCATTTGTGTGCATTTTAGTCTTAGTATCAGTATAAGTTCAGAAGGACCCAGAGGTTTGTTAGAAAACACTGATGAACAACTTGATGAAGGCAGGAAAGACATTAAATAGATGTAGGATACAGTTGTGGATCTACACTGGAAAGGCTGGGCATTAAAGGAACGACTAGAACATCAACTAAAGACTTTTGGCAACTTTGGGGAAGTTGCAGAGATTCACAGCTGAAATGGGAGAATCTGCAAACTGGACAAGCGGACAGCTGTGCACTGCAAAACCTTTTAATTAAATGGTGGCAAGAAGGAAGCCATTGTTAAAAGAAAACCATAGGAACTTATTTTTAGCAACGATGTAAAACACTGAGTGGTGGAAAACTAATCCTGAACATCCCCATGGTGACAGCCTGTCTTCAGAAGTCAATCCTGACGGAGGAGGCTGCAAAAGATCTCAGCACAGCAACCCTAAACATGCAGCCAAAGTTGCAATCAAACAGTCTAGATAAAAACAAAATTGCATATGTTAAGAATGGTGGGGTGCTGTGATGGCGCAGGGGTTGAGCACAGACCTCATGGGGGAGGCCTTAGTCCTCGACGCGCACATTGCAGGTTTGAGTCCCAGCCTGATAATCTTTGCTGAATATCTTTCTCTCATTACCCCCTTTCCTGTCTGGGCACAAACCCTTTTAAAGAAAAAAAAAAAAAAAAACCAAACAGAATTATGAAACAGGTATGAGTTTGAAGAAATTTCTCCGTCGTGCCTGCTGCTAGCATGTGCTTGTTCTAAACGAAAATTAACGCGTTCTTCTTTGACTTCCAATGATTCACTTCCTGCTAAAGAGCCCCCTGGTGGTTGAAGAAAAATCCACAGAAAAGCTCCCCCGGGCTACGAACTGCATGATTCAAAGCGTGGGCAAAAAAAGTAGCGGCTTATAGTTCGTTATTTGTTTTATAAATGCTAACATAATAGCTTGTATTAAAGCTTTATTTTTTCATGACGGTTCTAAAAGATGATGTCTAAGCCTATAAATCCAATGCAAATTTCAGTCCTGCAGTCGCTCATACAGGCTCCATGTCATGTGATGCACCACATCAGGCACCTCCATAGCATGTGGCGCTCGCTGACATTGCTCAGGCTGCTGTAAAACTGCTGGGGAGGACAGCTAGAAGACAGAAAGAGGTTGTGCTCTTCCTGCTGCAGACAACAAGCAGAATCTCATAAATATATTCAATGTGTTTTTTTTTTTTTTTTTACATATATAGTGCAGAGTCACAACCCTCCAGAGAAAACATGGCAAGAGTATCCTCCCTGGTGAATAAAGACCCTAGCAGGTTTTGTAGCGCGGCATTGCTAAATTCACATTCAGGTTTAAGCTGAGCCAAATCAAATAACATATTTTAACAGCACAGTAATCACTAAATGTTGTCCAATATATATGTTTGGTGCTAATGTTATCCTAACATGCATGTAGTATTTACTCTTTTCTAACCTATCACCACTGCAGTAAAATGTACTCGATCGACATCGTTTCAGTTCGGTACATATGATACATCTGCTTTATATTTATTTTCCTCTTTACATCCCTTAAAACGTTTGGCATGCTGAGATGTTTGTGTCACGCCTGTGAGCTAAACTGATCACATATCAGCTTCTTAACTGAGAGTGCAATAACTTAACCACCAACCAAAACAAACTATATCGCAAGGATTATCGGTTCATCCCTCCAAATCATTCAGTTTCAGGTTTTCTGACCGCTTCATCCTCTCCAGGTGGGTGAAATGCATCACCTTAACGTGACACTGAGTCACTCTCAGGAGCTCAGTGAAGTTCAGCATTGAACTGTGGTAGGATGCCCCACGTTCAGCAACTCCAGTCTTGATAATAGAAAGGATTGGAAATGACAGACAGGTGGTCGGGTGAAGGAGAAACAGCGAGTGGGGCCAGTGGATTTTGAGGCTCTTTGTGCTCAGAGGCAACTTTTTATTATCTTCTCACTTCATGAGGCATTGAACAGAGCTGATGACGGTGCATAGAGAGGTTCAAGATAGTGGGTTTAAGTGGCTGTGCAGCTACAATCAAGACCTACATCACCAAACTCAATGCAGTACATGAGGTGGTGGTGTAAAGCATGCTGCTGCTGGGCTGCAGAGTGGTGGAGGCATGTTTTCTGGAGTGATGAATCATTCCTCTCTGTCTGGCAGTTCAATGGATGAGTTTGGGTTAGACAGCTCCGTGGAGAACTGCCTGACTGTCTTGTCTTAACATTTGATAGAGTGCGTAGATCAGGCTCTGGAGTCCTTAGTTCCAGTAAGAAACTCTTCATCCTTCAGATCGCTGAGATTATTTTGGGGAATTTCAACTCTGTGGATATCATTTGTAGATGATCTCATCTTGTTCAGACATGACGTTCCACCAGTGCAAAAAAACAAGGTGCACAAAGGAACACTTTTAAGATGAATTAGAGCAAAGTGTGAGACAAACGTTTTCATCTAATAGTGTCTGACCTCAAAATGTCTCTTGTCGAAGAATGGTCAAAAATACACATTTCTAAACTTTGCTCTGTAGTTTGTGGAAAACCTGCCTAATGTGTGACCGAGATCATTTAATGAGACATTTTTTGAACGCATAAAGCAATGGTTGGTTATATTAATCCAGATTTCTAACAAGCCGGTCGTATTTCATTTTGCGCTTCTTTCTAGGATCTGTTGTGGGCGTAGTAGCATAAATGCCGTTTCTTCACCATCAAAAATCTATACTGGAAAAAAACAAGGGTGTTCAATAACAGAAATAAAGTGGAGAAACGGCGAGTGCAGGTGACAGAAACAGGAGACAGAAAGACAAACACACTGACAAAGAGGAGAAATTGAGATTAAATGGTAATTAATAGGTAGCCAGCACTTTCAATTCATCACATTCACCCTCCCTATTGATCACACTGAAATTTTCATTTAAAGTTTGAAATAAGCGGCAAGACCACCTCTGCAGAAAGCACTGAGCCGCGGATCAATAGCCAGTGGATTAGAACTAAATAAGTGCAGTCGCAGAAATTCAAATATTGGATTTCAGAGCATGGCGAGAGACTGCTGTGAATCAGATCCAGAAATGCCCAGGGGGGGGGTAACCAGAACGTGAAGGGAGAGCAGGGAAATGAACGACGCAAACGGAGAGAGGCAAAGGTAGAGGGTTGCGGGTCTTTATCGTCTCTCATCCCGCTCTGTTTTCTCTACCTTTTCAAACGCTGTTATCTCTCCACTTCTCTTTCGCTGACCTTTTTACTCAGAAAATGGGTCGAGTCTGCGCTAATTTCAACTCTTTGACTCCGTGCGCCGGGGGCCCTGCGGCGACAGCGGCTCCACCTCGTCTCCTCTCGATGTCGCCCACCTGCCGGCTTTCCGCCTCTACGGACGAACACGCTGCCCTGCCGCCCATTTAAGGCTGCAACCTGCTGCAAAGCACTGATCGATTCCCCCCCACAGCCGCTGGGTCGCGGCCGACTCTTTCAGGTACTCAAGAAGTGAACAGGCTGCAGGAAGGAGAGGGATGAATGAGGACATGCAGGAGGAGGAGAGGCGGGATCGAAGAAACACGACTAAATGCCCCTCCGGGACGGCACCGCGCCGTTAGCTCGCGCACGTGGCTGAACATCTCGGAGCAGATTCTGGCCGGGGCCTCTGGGCCCTCTGGTGTCACCTTGTGTTTTGGTGGAGGGCCGGTGATTAATGGGCCACGGTTTCTGCAAACGCTGGCTCCATTCCACCTGCTCTGCCGCCGCCGTTTCGTCCCTCTTTGTGCGTGTGCAGGCCAGCGCCCGTGCGAATAAGACGGCTGAACCATAATCAGAGAGCAGGCAGAAAGCAACAGTGAAACGGCTACATTCATTAAGAAGTTCACACTACAAAACACACCATCTGGTGTTGGCAGAGCGGGCAGACAAAAGAGGCAGAAGGAAGAAAACATGAGAACACACAAGGAGGGACGGGAGCTGGTTATTGTCCAGAAGTTGACATCGCGAGGAACGAGTGAGAAAGGAATGGATCCAGCGGATGGAGTAAAGCAAGAAGAGGAAAAAAAGCGTCACCTGAGAGGTGAGAAATGCCAGGAGGTCTCCAAGCAGCAGAAATTACTTCAGGATTTAGACTGGCAAAAAGAGACACTTGAGAAAAAGAGAATTGAGTGGGTCTTTTACAGCCATGGCTGACAGCCTGCCGTGTGTGTGTGCCTGTGGTGGGGTAACTCACCAGGTGGACACGGTACATGATGCTGATTCCCAGGGTCATGAAAGGCTTGGAGAAGTCGATCACTTTCTCGCGCTCCGCTGTGATGGTGAGTCCGGCCACGGCCAGGTCAGCTTTCTGAAGGGAGAGTCAGATCGCGTCATAAAAACAAACCCAGACACACGTGTAATCCAGTTCCGAGGAATAACATCCTCTATGTGACTAAACTGTTTGAAAAGACGACGAGGATGACTACAGAAGAAGACTAATGGTAGCCAAAACCCCCATAATACCCTTTTGTATCCTTTAGACCCTTTGTCCACCAACAGCACTATCTGTGTTGAGGATAATCCAACATTGGCCTCGTGTGTGTGCATGAGAGTGTGTGTCAGTCGCTGTGAGTGTGGAGGGCACCAGAGAGCTCAGGGTAACCATTGTGGCTGGCCAAAGGAGCACTGTCAAGACAAATCACTTGACAAAGCAACGGCTGGCAAAACACACTGTACGAAACAAGCACACACACATGTACACACGCACACACGTCTACACATACGTAGAAATGCTCAATGCAGCTGAATTCTGGAAAGCTTTCTACTAATAATACAGGCCAGCAAAGTGCAACTGCAAGGGATTTTTCATCTCCCTGTGGAGCAAAGAGTGAAAGCAGTAAAGCATTGCTCTTTGTCTGCAGCAGGAGGACTAAGAGGATTGGGGAGAATAGCAGGACGAGAGCAAGCGGAGGGGAGCACTGCAGCAGGAACACTTTCTCTTTTTAGCAGAATCTGACATACACGGGATTGGATTTAGATTTGACGTAAGAGTGAATTGTGATAATCAAAGAAGCCCTCGGAGCAAGTTTAAAATGCCACGTCGAGGAGCGAAGTTGCACCTTTGCTAGAAACGCTCCATTATTCCTGTTTTTCCGCCTCCTGGACTCGGAGCCGCCCACAGCCGAGCACTGAGGCCCGTAGCGTCTCCCGAAAGCCCAATCCCCAGTCAGAGGCTTTGACCCTCTGTCATCAGCTGTCCTATTTTCCCCTCTCTGCTTTCAGCCCCGAAAGGAGAGACACGAGTAGGGAGCGGCTTTCCAGGCAAATTTTTAACAAAGAAACGTCTTTGAAAAGCGAACGGCAACTTTAACATCCAATGAAATATTAATGAAATGCAATAAGATTCCTGTGGCTGTCTCCTAATGCACCTTCTGCTATCACACAATCTAATGCCTGCTGTTAAGCGCCGTGGTCTCTGTGTCTAGCTATAGTCATTCATATTATAATCCAGTTAAGAAGACAGAAGGATTTGAGTCTGACCTTGGACAAATTAAACTTTGTGTAAGAGCTAAACGTGTGCAAACAAGTAGAGCGCCTTTCTTTCCAGCTGTTTTGCACTCAATTCATGCAAACAAATAAATTCATTAAAGCTCCAGTAGGCAACTTTCATAAAAAAAAATATGTTTGTTTGTTGCATATGAAAAACATTGAGCTCCACTGTCTCTGACTTTTTGTTACTTTTTAAAAAATAAAAGTTGCATACTGCAGCTTTAAGTCCAGAAGATTGGGGCTGCCTCTGCTGTTTTAGCACCAGGTTACAATCGTCTCTTCAGCCACAAATGTAGGACATGAAGTAAAGTGACCATGTCTCCTAAAATAGCTCTGAAGTGTTTGATCCAATGAAGTGCTGCTCAAAACATTAAGAGGAATGACGTCAGAACGGCATTAATAAATCAATGAAAGTCCCTTTAACAGATTTGTTGTGCGATGAAACGCATCGACAGAAATAATAAAAAAAAATAAACCCATAATATACAAATATGCAGAGCTGGCTTGTATTTACATCATCTTAAAAAGAAAAGTTTTACGTCCATTTATTCTGGCTGCACTCTCGCTCACCTCCTCCTCTTCCTCCTCGTTTCTGGTGAGGAGGAGGAGGAGGAACAGATGGACCTTCTTCAAATAGTTTACATCACTTTAGCTCTGTTTACTAAACTCTGCATGTGAAGAATCTGTTAAAAACACTCAGAAATCGTAAGGTTTGTACTTTTAAAATCAATTGCAAAAATATCCAGTGGATTTCACTGGATATTCTCATGTTCTTTGACGTCCCTGACCTCCTGCATACCAACTTCCAGCTAACTTTATTTTTTTCTCCCCTGCATAAAACATGCAGTTCCACAGGCTTTTTTCTTCCTGTTTCTTCCTGATCTGATCTCATATGAACGTGATGAAGCTGTGCATCATTTTGCCATTTGCTCTGTAAAGCTTGGAGCAGATGTGTATTTTTCTGTGATATCAGAATTAGAAGAGGCGCTAACTCGGGTTACATACCAACCAAAAGCTTTGCAAAGAGTTTTGTAGTTCTTTTCAATTCTTAAACTAGATGGGAAGGTGTAACATTGTGTTCTACTCTCATGCGTCAGAGGTTTAAATAACCAACTTTTAAATAACTTGTAACGTAAAGAAATCCCTTCCTTACATATTTAAGTTTTGCCAGAACATAAGGCTCTCAAAGACCAGAGTTGTCATGCAGGCTGTGAAAAGAAAATAGCTTCTACTGAAAGGTAGAGGTAATTTTAATGCAGAAGGAGACAAAAAAATGAAAAAAGTGGCAGGCTGCGCTCCGACAGCTTTACGAAAACTTGACACGGAAGTCTGAAAAGATGAATTTGATTATCTAGTGATTTCTCTGATATACATTTTTCACCAATCAAATAAATTATCTGAACAATATTGTTGTTTTTAACAAATTCATATTAATGGATGAAATTACAATCAAGCTCACAGTTTGGACAGAATCCAGAAGACCCTTTTTGTCTATTTTGTAAAAAAAAGCAAAACAAGAAAAACCAGTTGCACGATATAATTACTCTCTGATAAATTCAGACGACGTTATTACAGTTTTGAAGAGTGCAGGTGGAAACTCTTTGTGGGAAAATATTCCTTCCACTCTGTTTAATCACTTCTGTAATTGTGGGTCAAGAGGGGACAACTGTGACCTGAATGAAAAACGGGATTGCTTGGATCTTGATGTGTGTTTCTACATCTATTTAGAATAATCTGCTTTGTGATATAACTTTAATAGCACAAGCACAGTGACTTGAGCAGCTTTGCGGATTCCCTCTTTTGTTTTTTAACTGCAGGTTTTTCCTAACAAAGCAGAATACGCTGCGCTGGGACTCCACAGGCCTTCTTCTGGGCTAGCACACAGGCTATCTAACACCAGTCAAAGTAATCATCCTCGCTGGCTGAAATATTATTCAGTCAGAACGTTACAGCCAGGGACACGGGAATCTGTTGTCCAGAATATCCTCAGGCTTCCCTTCCTTGCTGCTGAGCGTGTATTTCATACTGTATCTTCTCAACTTATCTTTTAAGCTCGCAGGCGAAGCTGGTCCCACATCTTTTTGCTTTTTATGTCTTCCTCTGACATAGCCTCCAACCATACCAGATGAAGCCTTTCTTCTCCCTGCGTCCCGCCCCTCCTCATTCCTCCCAGATGACCCTCTGTCCCATGACACATTCCTCTCAAGCATGCCCTTTTATTTTTGCGTTGGATCTCAGGCTGCCTTCGAAAGACACGCGTCAACTTAAGCAAACCGGCGAAGGTCGGCTTCCCTGGAGCAGCTTACGGGTTCTGACTGTAACACAGGCAGGCACATCTTGCTTTACGTTCTTAATGGCTTTGCCCTCCATTAGCCCACAGAATTAAGACAGATCACCTCTGTGAGTAGACTCAGCCATTCACTACATCATTTCCTCCTCCTCCGCCTCACCCCTGCCTTCCTTCTCACATTTTTCTTTTTTTTACTCGCATCTCCTCCTCCCCATCTCATCCCCTCCCCTTATGTAACCTTATCTGGCTGTTGGCAGACACAACGTAGCCGTGAAGACGCGCAGGACCTCACTGCGAGGTTTTACAGTAATGGCGCAGACCGATTCCAAGAGGGAGGAAGGAGGGACGAGAGCCGGCGTTTGTCGAGGTCAGTTCAGACGGCTCACGGAAAGGAGCCGTCCCAAAACAAGCCACCGACGAGCTGCGACTGTTTTTGAAAAATACAATGCTTAAAGCTGGAAAGGCCAACTGCTGAGTGAAAAAAACAAAACAAAACAACATACTATGTGAAGTAAAGGAAATGTAGTCACTGTGAACTAAATGAAAGCAGAGCAGTCCAATTTAACTTGTCCGTCTGTGTGCGTCAGTATCAGTGGGAATTATTCAAGTTGTTGATGTGCATTTATCACCGAATACACTTGATAATTTATTATGCGTCTCAGATGCAGGCCACATGAAAGTCTCTATGTGTTTGCATTTTAACCGTGGCGGCCATGTTTTTTGGCACCTCTCAAAAAGACGCGTAAACAAAATTAATCATTTAAATTAACACTTTAAACTTAATAATATAATAAATGAAACTGAATTTATTGTGGTAGTTGCATATTAATTTAGTGAGGGGGAAAAACTTAGTTAAGAAGTCAGAAACAAATCTTAAAAAAATAAATAAATAAATAAGCAAAGGCAACTTTAGCATTTTTTTTTTAACTTACAAAAGTACAAATATCCTGTTATTGTCCCACAATGGGGAAATATTTGTGCAGCAGCAGCAAAATAAAGTCAATTTCTACAAAGATGTGAATATGCAGTATATAAAAACAGAATAAAGAACCACATACTGCGCAACAGGGACAACATTTTAACATAAATACTAGAAATTTCCTAAGGAATATGAAACTGAATAGGTTAAAAAAATGTGCCAGTGTGGGCATGTGAGCATTAAAAGATAACAGAGCATATACAATGAGTGACGATAAAACTGTGCAGATAGCAGCAGAAGCGTTATCTAGAACGAGTGAAGCGACCAGGTACAGTACACACCCTGGAGATGAGCTCTCCGACCATCCCGGTCCACGTTCCGTTGGCTCCAGGAACGCCGTAGACGCCGTCCCCGACCAGCCGGATACGATACTTAAACTTGAGGATGTCTGCCAGCTCCTTCAGCATGTCCACGCAGAAGCCTTCGTAGCGGTCATTCCCCTCCAGTTCTTGGTGGTTTGGCCGCAGCATTACGTACGGATTCTCCTGCAAAACCACAGTGTGCATGCTGATGTTGGAGATGATGGAAAACATCCTCCATTTTAACAGCTTTTCAAATTTGTGCTTAAAAAAAAAAAAATCATGCCACAGATGTATCTTTAACATTTTATCTGATTGCGTTTCAGATCCAGAACTCCTCAGAAGATTTTAACTTCCCATGTTCTCTCTGGAGGTCATGGGTCACATGGGGTTTACCGCCTGCAATGAAAACCGAGATTTTTGGGATCTGAAGCAGAGCCAGGTACCGAAACAGGAACATCAACGTGAGAGACTTAATCCACTGTAACCAGCAAAAAGCTGGATAAGAAACAAAAGCATTTCCTTCGTCTGATCTCTCACACACACACACACACACACACACACACACACACACACACACACACACACACACACACACACACACAAATATTTACAACCTGCTGTTTGGAGATCCAAGTCTGTGTTCGACTGCCAGTTTATTTATGTCTTGTTTTGTGGTTTAGTTGATGTTGGAAAAAGATTTAAAGAGCTATGTATTTCAGAGGCCACTTTAGTGCGTTATCAAATAATGCAGTTGTTGAGCTGCTGTGGTTTGGATTTACTGTGTCACGATAAAATAAAAGATCAGATATTTGCTGTTGAGGCATCATTTCAATTGACTCATCAGTTCAGCTAATCTGTCATCAACACTAAAAAAAACAAAATCTTAAAATTAACGAGCAAACTTCATATGAACAAAATGACGTTGTTTGAAATTCAACATTGAGAAAGTTTTTTTTTTTTTTTTTTAAACAGATTGTAGCCATAAAGCCACCTGTGTGAGCCGTATAAAGTGGACTGTGACTGCATTCAGGAGGGAACAACATAACCACTAATGATGTGGTGCTGAAGTTTGAGGGCCAGAATAAAAGTTAAATTGTTTTGTCATTGCGAATGCTGTAAATGCTAGTATATGACTGAGGGAAAGCTAGCCGGCTCTTTGAACAGTCGGCCTTGCACAATATATTAATGGGCTTTTATTTTGAAATTATACATCAGATCTGGTTGACATTTGCTGGGTTTTTTTTCCAAAGGTGTCCCTCTGTCGCCCAGAAGAGAGAGAAATCACTGGAAAAATAGAGGTTTTCAGCATTGTATAATGTCCCCAATTATTTCTCATACATTATTTCTTTTTGCAACTGTCGCGGATGTGCGCTTTTATTGTGAAAGCAGCATGTAAATGAATGTACAGTACCATAATGTCTTTAGCTGTCGCCCACGTGAATATCTTGGCTGTTCGCTAGCTTTACCGCAGTTATATGAGGGGCACATGATCGATTTGCCTCAAGGTTCAATCTATAAAAATAGTTTTATTTATTTTGGGAAAACTTGATGCCCCTCAGGTGGCACGACTTTTACTTGTGAGCGGTCATGTTCTCGTCAAAGTTAACTGCTTGGTTCCGCTTTTAAAGGCAGCAGAGAGCATCACGTTGACATCATGGACTGAACGCCTCATTTTTCCTGCATCGGTGGACGAAAGAAATAGCAGCGATGTGATAACCACAAGGATAAAGCAAATCCTAATGGGCTGTCTGCGACACACCGCACAAAGCAGATGAGCATGTAATTTCAGCTCGTCACGGCAGGCTCAAAAAGCTTACTCAGGAGACACGCTGTACAAAACCAGCCACATTTTTTGGCGCCGTAGTAAATATGTGTAACATAAATTGCAGAGGGACGATTAAAAATAAAATAAATCCAGCGATTAATTTAACTACCGTATTTTCCGGACTAAAGAGCCCACTATAAGCCGCTGGTATCTCCGGTGCATCATATGAACTTCTTTATGTGGTTTCATTGAAGAGGGTGTATGAGTTTGAATAAATTTCTCCTTGTTCTAAATGAAAATTAGCACTTTCTTCTTTGATTTCCAATGTTGACTTCCAATGATTCACTTCCTGCTAAAGAGCCCCCTGGCGGCTGAAGAAAAATACAAAGAAAAGCCGCACTGGGATGTAAGCCACTTGGAAAAAAGTAGCAGCTTAAAGTCCGAAAAATACGGTATATTAATGATCTTCAATGGTAAATTTGATATAGCAATAAATTCTGAATATATTGCAAATTCATAATTTTCAACAAGGTCTGATTGAAATCTAGTCAAAAACATGCAGTATTTGATTGGATTTCATAATCTAAATGAAAGGCTGACTGTCACAAAAATGCTGAACTGGGTAGGGTGTGTGTGTGTGTGTATATATATATATATATATATACACACACACACACACACACACACACATACCTCAAATCAGAATATCTGCTGGTGAAGTTGGGGACTGCAGAATACATATTTCCAGAAATGTGTCCACATTTTGGAAAAAGTAAATCCTATTATCATGCTACATTAATGGTGATGTCTTTTAGAAAACAATTTTGCATTTCATTAGTTTATCCTTCATGCTGGATTTTAAACACTGCACAAGCTTTCAGTAACATCAGTTTGAACATGAAAAACAGACATCTTAACTTTGCAGCTCCTGAACAATGAAGCAGTTTCTGTGTTTGTGTGCGTTTAGGTGAAAATGTTTCCATTTGTCTCTTATCTTTCTATTCCTGGTCAGACATGCCAAATAAAAATAAACTCTGGAAACATTATTCAGTAAAGCAAACACTGGACAGCAACATAAACTTTGTGTTTTCATTTCCATTGATGCCCATAGTTTTTATATGTGATTTTTTTAAAACTTGGTTTCAGTTTGCTCCTCTGTCTTTAAGAGCTTTTGTGAAATAGGGCATTTTAGTTTGTATGGACCAAACTAAACCAAAGGTTTTAAAAGTTAATCTTAAAACTTTCTTTAAATACTGAAATAAAGTTGTCGTGAAACAATTTCTTATTCAAAGGGTCGCTTAAGTTTAGAGTATAACACAATATATATATTTTTTATGTGAAACTTTTACACAGGGGACTGAAAATTGTGCTTTCTGAGAAGAGGAAACCATAAGGAATTTCCTTCTACTTTCTTTAACACACCACAGCCAAATGTAAAGAAGTAAAAAAAAAAAAAAACATTGGTTTGAATCTATAAAGCAATGCAAACTTTTAAAACAGTTTCTCAGGCTTTCCTGCCTACTTATTCCCAGGCCGAAAGGAGTCTGGTTCCATACAGATAACTTTAGCAGACGAGGAACAGCAAATGCAGGAGTCGTCAAGTGCACCGGAGGATGTTCTTCACATTATACTTCACACCTACAACAATAGAGTTCCTCATCTTAAAACCTCCAGGTGTTGAGGACGCCTCCACGCAGCCCTTTCTCGTTGTTTTTCCCCCCAGAAGCCTTCATTTCCCTAAAACAAGCTCTCCAGAGTGCAACAAGATGCCGACTGGGATATTAATTTGAAGCTGTGTTTGAACAGAAGGCAAATTTGATCTAATAATATTCCCTTAAAATGACAGACCAATAGGAAATTGGCTGGGGCACAGGAATGGTAAACTTCAAATAAGGCTTTTGCAGAAAAGATCGAGATAAATGAATGCTTAAAAAAAAAAATCAAGGAGAACAGTAGCAGAGCTTGAGTCTGCATGTGCAAATACATGAGCATATGCCTCAGTGCCTCTGAGCCTGTGTGCCAGAAAATCAGCCTCCTTGTCTGCTTTTATCAGTCAGCGCAGTGTACACTGTTCAATTTTTACCGTTGCATTTGTGACTGGATAAGAAAGCGACCCAAAGGGAGTCTGTGGGAAGCTGAGGGAGAATATCAGAGGGCGATGTGGTTGATAAAACAAAACAAAGCAAAAAAAAAAAAAAAAAGAAAAACAAAAAAAGACTCGTATAGGTGCAACTCGAAGCACGTTTCAAGTATGAGGAACAAAGTGATTCAATTGAGTTTTAGATTTTGAGGCGGTGGGAATTTTAAATAATGGCTGGAATCAAAAAACACGTCTGCCAAGGTGAAACCCTGGTGCGTTTTGGATTTAACAGCAAAAAGGTCATTTCTAAAATACTTCTGTTTCTTGAACTTTTCCACCTTGAGGGCAGCCATAAACTTTCAGGTATTTTTCTGAGACATTAGATGATGTAAAAGTAAAGTATAATTGTGAAGTAGTGGAAAAATGATCCGTTTTTGTTTTTTTTTTTTCAAAATTTCTAAATTCTCTTTGGGGATATCTGATTATCACCGTAACTTGTTTTATCTAAAGAGAATCCCAGTTAATTAGCATACAGAGTTCACTTTTAGTCAGTTTAGTCTCAGTATGCAGCTCTTAAGATCTCATAAGTTTAGCTATAATCTACTCTGGCCTTTGTTCAGGTCCTAAAACATTTAGCTTGTCATAATCATAACACTGCACATCATCCAAAAGGTCAAATATGATGAAGGCAGCATCATGTTGTGTAAATGCTTTTCTTAAACTGGAGCAGAGAAGTTGGTCAGAATTGACACAAATACAAATAGAGCTAGGTCCTAATAAATGCTGCAAAGACTTAAGATAAACATAAACATTAAAATGTAATGGTTTGTATTAGGGGTCTCCAGTCCTCAGGGGTCGGTGTCTTGCAACCTTTAGATTCATGCCTGGTTGAGCAACCTGGACTCAAACAACTGAATTATTTACTGAGCATGGATTCGAGTTTGTCCATGACGTACTGCAAGTGTTTGATTTGGTTGTGTTGGCATAGTCAAAGTTCACACTCAAATCTAAATGAAAAGCCGGTGCATCTTTCAGACGTTCCCGCTCTTTCCGAGACGCCTCCTTCAGGACGTCATCACAACATTTCTCCATTGTGACGTCCTGAGGAGCGCTGGACTGAGAAGTAGTTCCTAAGATGAGCTCAGCAGATGCGCAGTTCCCCCAGATGTTTGCTAATTGCTGCTGCTGCTAGTGTGGAGGAGCCGAGTGGGGGAGTTGTGCGAGATGGGAGCTCTGTGGGGCAAAAGCCCAGCTGAAGACGGCAGACCAAGCATTTTGGACAGTTCAATGGTTGGAGATCAAAGGATTTCTTAAACATGCATGAAAAAAATCAAGGCA